ATCTCCTCCAGAAGTCTAAGCCTATAGCAGCATAACGATAGAGATAGCTCAGAATAACCTGAGCCACTCTAACTATAAGCTTTATCAAAAAGGAAAGTTTTAAGCCTAGCCTTAAAAGTAGACAGGGTGTCTGCCTCATGGACTAAAACTGGTATTTGGTTTCATAGGAGAGGAGCCTGATTACTAAAAGATCTGCCTCCCGTTCTATTTGTTTTAGAAATTCTAGGAACTACTAGTAAACCTGCAGATTGGAATGGGTGATGATGCTCTTTGGAATGCAGACGTCCTCAATGCATTTGTTGATGTAGGCATTTGTTCATGTTATATTATGGGATCATAGATATGTCTGGTAGATTTTTTGTGAACAATTGTGTTATATTAAGGGGTCATAGAATGCAAATGCAGTATTGAAGGCTTCACAGAGGAAGGGGAAATTTGTCACAGTCTACCCAAGGATCCCAAGACTTGACAGGAATGGATAATGTTTAAGTATCAGAAGATCCCTGCAAAGTTTGATGCTCAGCTGTTTATTTGCTCTAAACATTTAACTGAAGAAAGCTTCTAACATCTTGGACAGATTAAAGCAGGATTTGCTAAGCTTCTTTTAGTGAAACGAGGAGCTGTTCCGACCCTAAGGGCATGGCTATAAAGTGTCGACTGCTGGGGAAGCATGGGGCCGCCGGCTACCGTCATCGTGATGGGTTTGGTTGCTCCCCGATGGCTCCCTGCCTCCTTCCGCTGGGGTTCCCGGACCAGCCCCGGAGCTGACGGCTTAGTTTGAGTACCCAGTGTATTTCGACTACGTACTCCACTGTAGTCGACCAAAATCCAGGACGATTTTGAAATTCGCCCCGGATATTTTTTAGGTATGAAAAGTCGGATATGTTTGGGAAAAAAAGGACTTCTGGTCTTCCTACCATATACACAAGTTGATATTTCAGTGAGTGAGTGCACAGCTCATCTACATATTCATGAGCATACCATAAAAGGAAGAAAACCTTTCGTTTCCTTCTATGGCTTTTTACCAGGCTTGCATTAGGAATCATAGAAAAGCAAATATGCCATTTTAAGCCCAACCAATGTTACACACCCTATTCAGAGACCTTAGAGACCAGCACCAATCACCGTATAGAATTATTCTATGACCCCTTTGGGAATATGTTTTCGACAGGCACCTACGCTTTAGGAACGTCTGCGTTGCACATAGATTCTAACCAGTTAATCTTGCCACCATTTAATCTATTACAACAGGTTCATCATTGGATTGCCAATTAGAAGAGGGAGGATTTGCCATTGAACCTCTGGCCAGAGAGAAAACACGTAGTATTTAGCCAACATTTCAAAGAATGTTTTCAAGATGACTTGGATAATAGTGCCTTGTGACAAACACCAAATAGAGCATTGGGACTTGGGATCAACAGCCAATATCGCACCGCAGTGGTGTCAAAAGTACACACTTTTGTTACTTAAGTAGAAGTATAGATACTTTTTCCGTAAAAATTCAAAAAATATCCACTTGAATTTTTACGGAATGACTATGACCTGGATGACTGAGAACCTTCATCAGCAAGTATAGATACTGCAATTTAAAAACACTCTGGTAAAAGGTAAAGTATCAATTTGACCTCTTTACTCAAGTAAAAGTGAAAAAATATATGCTCAAAAAACTACTTAAAGTATAAAGTAACCTTTAAAGAAACAGCCAGATGCCACTATGTGAATTGCTGGTGAAGATTCTCAGTCATCCAGGTCATAGTCATTCCGTAAAAGTTTAAAAAAAAAACAATTCACTGGACTTTCTTTACCAGGTTTGAAGATGTTTCACTTTCCCTGCAGGAAGCTTTCTCAATTCAAAATGTCCGGATTCGCATTGAATTTGAGGCCTTTTATAATGGTCCAAAAACAAGGCCTTGTATTGCTTGGAAATATGCAAATTGAAACTGATAAGCGGGTCGTTTGGTTCCATTGTTAGCCTGTAATGCCTGAAACCTGTCTATGATTGTGAAAGGTCAGTTGTTAAAGGGGGGATTGTTCACCTGGCTGAAGAGAGGAGGTGCTTTCCTCCACTGTGAAGAGGTTGGGGTTGTGGTGATACGTGGAAGGAATCAACTCAATAACTGAATTGTTTTTGGAAGCTGGAATCTGAGTCCACCTCCTCTGTTTAAGGTTGTTTTTATTCTCTTACCATAGATGGCTTCCTTCACACCCCTCTCAAAAACCACCTATTTTCTTTATCCAAAATGTGAACATTCTGGTCCTCAAAGGAATGTCCTTTGTCCAAAAGGAATAGGTGTACTGCGGAGTCTTGTCCCGAGGGGGTCGCTCTGTGTTGGGCCATGCGTCTGTGGAGAGGTTGTTTGGTTTCTCCAATATAAAGATCAGAGCATTCCTCACTGCACTGAACAGCAGACACCACTCCGCTTATATTCGGTCTGGGGATTTTATCTTTAGGATGCACTAGTCTCTGTTTAAAGGTCTTCTTTGGTTTGAAATGTAGTGGGATTTTGTGTTTGGAGAAAATCCTCTTGAGTTTTTCAGAGACTCCATCAACATATGGGAATCTGATGTTTTTGCATTTAATTTTCTCAACGCTATCTCCTGCTGCAAGTCTTTTGGATTTCCTTGCTGATTTGATAAACGCCCAGTTTGGGTATCCACAAGTTTGGACAGCATCTTTGATGTTTTTTTGTTCTTTGTGCTTCCCTTCTGTTTTAGTAGGGACATGTTCTGCCTTGTGTTGTAAGGTTCTGATGATGGAGAGTTTGTGTTCCAGTGGGTGGTGTGAGTCTCAAGTACAGTGATGAAGTATTTGTACTACATTACTTGACACCTCCACCGCATTGTGACGACACAAACCAGTTGTTGGTGGTAGTGTTCTTTGACAGTGTTCTCCAGTAAAACACATTCAAATGAAAATTACCCTTAATTAAATACACTTATCTTTTTTTTGAACAGTTTGTAATAATTTCATGTTTAAAGTACTTTCAGAAGTTTGAATTCTGAATATGACCGGACTTTTCCTCTAAACACAAACTTAGGTTAGAATCCAAATTTTCAGCATGAAGTGTGAAAATCAGTGAAATCAGTGGTATGTGGTGAGCATGAGTGGAGGATGGATGTGGAAGTGTTGCAGCACAATCATCTCCAAAGCTAAAGGCAGCAGCATACTTGTGGAGGAGGGCAGAGTCTAGTTAGTTGGCAGTCAGGGTTTATAAACTAAGGGTTTTACCAGGTCCTTGGGGGCCCCAGTAATCAGTTCTGGATAAAAATGGTAAATGCCCAAACCTACCACAAGGGTCCTACAGGGGTTAGAGCAGTGGAGAATAAATACTGACCCAATGTATGGTTTCTATTTTTATCAGAGCAAACTTTGATCATTCTGATTGTTCATGGATTGAGGCAAAGTTTTCTGTCAAAATAATCTCTGTTTTTTCTTCCGTGACTTGTTTCATTTTGTCTTTCAGACTTAGATCCTGTAACCTCTCAGGGAGAACTTGTGAAGTTTTGTCATCAGTTCCGAGGTCCAAGTCCAGCTGTCTGAGAGAGGTTGACCTGCAGAAAAACAACCTCCAAGATTCAGGGGAGAAGTTTCTGGCTGGTTCAGAGGGGACACTAGAAATATTCAAGTGAGTATTCATCAAACTGGTTCTTCTAGGTTCTAATGAGGCACAGTGTTCTCTTTTTCACAGATCCAAATGGTTTAAATGCTACATTGATGATGTTCTGATAGATCCTTCTGAGTGTGGCATATCTAATAACAGATAGTGTGATGGTGGGAAAATCTCGATTTTCCCACTCTGATTTAGCACATCTGGAGCATCTGTCCATCAGTTTAGTTGCTCTGACCATCCTTCTGGGTTACGTTTTCATCAGTAACTAACACAGCTGTCTATATTCCACCTCAGGAAGATAAAGATATAGCTTTGACTGCACTACATGATGTGTTCAGTGAAGATCAGAACAGTCACCTGGAAACTGCTCCTATCATAGCAGAGGACTTTAATAGTTCAAGTCTCAGACAGGACAGGACTATTTCATGAAGATCTTTGAGCAGATGAAGCTGCTGTAGCTCATCTTGTCCAGGAAGCAGAGCTGATAGTACTGAAAAACCAGCTTGATTGTCTCTCATCTCATCAATCAGCTGAAGTCTTACTGTAGATGTTGGACTAAATCAACCTTGATGATGTGAGAACTCTTCGAAATGGAGATGAAGAACCAGACTGTATGGTGTCCTCCTCCTGCCTGATGTAAAAAATGAAATGAAAAGAATTAGTTCAAACTGGGCTGAAACATGACAACTAGAGGACAGGACTTGGTCATGGGCTTAGGTTTTCAGAGGGACAATAGGGACATGTCCCTACCAAAATTTTGGACTGACCTACTTGTCCCTAACAATAATTAAATGTGAATAACATGTTTATAATTTACAATACAGCGATGTTGCTGCAGTTGCTTCTTTTCCTTTCGCAGCTCATCTGCCTGGTAGCTGCTGCTGCCGCTTTTATGCACTGGGGAGGCACTAAGACAAAGCGGTGGTATCACACTAGAATACCATGGTTACTACAATTAATTTTTGGTTGGAAAATTAATTAAAAAACCAAATATTATCTATGCTAAAACAGAGGCGAGAGCTTCTGATTACAGTTCCGTAAAGAAGCAGGAGAGTGTTTTGATTTGTGTAACCAACCTTAGCATCTCAAAAATAATATTTAATTCTGAAGTATAATACATTTTATCAATAAAGCCCCCTTTTTTCTTTTTTACAAAAAAATAAGTATTCTGTATCAGACAAGAGTTCTGCAGTCTGCTGGAAAAATAGACAAGCAAAAACTAAGCTGTCAAAAATTCTGATTCTTTGCCACAGCCGACTGAAAAAGAAAATCTGATGAATGAATCTGTGAGGCAGCTCAGCTATAAATAGCATATAGCAGCTGTTATTTCTTTAATAGAGTATAAAAACATGAGATGGCACCTAGACATCTGCTATTTTTTGTTTAGAAAGAATAATTAGGGTTCCCCATGATAATAGTGATATTTAATTGACTATTTCTACTTCTGGAAATACGGAACAAACAGAGGAACGCTATTTACATTGATTTTATTTTACATAAATTCCCACACAATCTATAAGTAAATTAGTACAAACATCAGTGTCTGGTAAAAATACTTGAATCTGGCTGTTACATTACAGATAAGATAGTGTTATATTTTCTTTTAATAAACGTTAAAATTCTTAGTGATGTGCTTTGTAGATGATGCCACTAAAAAGGAAAATTGACATAAGAAGCTATTTTAACCGCCAGCCAGGAAGTAACATAGGATGGAATAAAGGCTTTGATATTGACAACAATCTTGTATGATAGTAACATATAATTTACAGGAAACGCAGCTATCCAGTAATAATAATGCAGGGCAGATTGAAGGTGAAGCAGCTGGACATTCAGTGTTTCAGATGATGTGAGAATAATTGTAATTACAAATTAAGGAGCAACATTTTTATTTACAGTATATACAATATAAATTTCACTTTGTATTTGATATGGCTGAATTTATGGAACTCATACAACGAATGGTGATGTTGCAGCAAAAGTAGAGAGAGAAAGGGCTTCAGGTAAGAGTTTAATATGGTTTAGAATTTTATTTTAATTTTATTTTTTCAGCTTTTATCGTCATTAGACTGTCACAAGTACAGAGCAACAAAATTCTCTGCATTTAAACCATCCCCTTGGTGAGCAGTGGGCTGCCATTGTGGGGTGCCCAGAGAGCCGTGTGGGGTTAAGGGTCTTGCTAAGAGACCCAGAGTGGCAGTCTGTGGGAGTGGGCTTGAACTCAAATGGTTGACCTGACACTTTGCCCTTTTGCCTGAGCTGGGTGTGAAAGGTTGTTGCCGACGCAGTTTTTCCTTGTGTGCCTTCTTCTCTCTGACATGAGAGTTACCCAACTCTTTTGCAAGCTCAACCAGGAAGTCCACCCGTCTCTCCTGCACCCCAATGCATGCCTTATAAAGCACATGTGCATTCAGTTCTGCCATGTCAATTATGTTGTAGAACACGGCAACTGGCCATCTCTGTGTTCCTGCATGCACACCGCACTTTGTTTTGTTGTATTGTGTAACCGTGTTTGGCTTCCTTTTGGTGTATCCTCAGTCTCAACCACGCTGTGCATGCTGCTGAGAACGTAAACGGCCTTCTTCCGTTTGGGCGCAAACACTGTCAGCGTGGCACCAGTGGTTGAAAACACCTGAGTGGTAAATTCAGTGCGATCCATCTGTCTAGTGGATTGAGGAATTTCCCAGCTTCTCTTGTTGACTGTGCCGAGGATAGTGGTTTTCTGGCTAAGCAGTTGCAAGTGACAGTGATGTAAAGAAATTGTCTGTGGTTACAGTTCTGCCTTTGTCCATGAATGGTTCCATCAGCCTCATCACTACAGTTTCGGACAGTCTCTCCCCACTGGGACGACTGGGGTCCTTGCCAATATATGGAAAGACATTACAGATGTACTTTGATTTCAAGTCGCAAGCCACCCAAAACTTGATGCCAAACTTGTCCGGTTTTGTTGCAATGTATTGCAGGAAACAGCAGCGAGTCTTTGATGGAAAAAGCTGTTCATCAATAGGGATGTGTCGACCAGGGTTGTAGGATGCGATGCAGTTAGTGACAAACGATCCCCAAACATCGGAGCTTGCAGCAAACTTATCAGTCTCCGCTCGCTCACTGCGTGTAAACATGTTATCAAAGCGTAGGTGTCGCATGATGTCTTGGAAGCGGCTTCGAGCCATAGTAGCAATGATCCTTGGGTTTGCCAGGTTTGCTGACCAGCTGTCACATAGTGATGGAACCTTGGTCACCCCCCGCAAGATAATGACTGAAATAAATGCCATTAGTTCCGGGAGATTCATGAACCAATCCAGCTGCTCCGTGTGACGTGCATGTTGAGTAGTCCATTCTCGAATGCTACGAAGCATGTCAAAAGTGATAAAACAGAGGAAGCTCTGAAGGCGACTCCAAATACTTCGTCTGGCCTTAGCGCTTGGCTCTCCATCTGTGGCGTACGGTTGAATTGGAGTGAAATGGAGATGTGTCCCCACTTGTTCTTCATGCCACACTGTGCCATCTTTCGCGGTGTCTGACGGCTCACTCCCCAAACAACCTCTCTTTTTTGGTAGAGGGAGAGTCTCTTCATCTGCAAGATAAACAATTTCAGATTAACTTTTTGTTTGGTTCTAAATAAAAAATAGTCAGGAAAATAAAATAGGTAGGTTGAGAAATCTAATGTGAAGACCGTTCAGAGTCCGAATCCGGTTGAAGGTCACTGTCTTCTCCATCTGAATCACAAGGGCTGGCACTGCTCAGAATCAGTTCCAATGCCTTCTGAGTGGTGAACCTCTTCTGCATTTTGTTTCTTGTGAACTAAATAGGTGAAGCAGTCACCTATTTATCCTCAACAGCCCAAAAGGCTGCATGCAAATTTCCATGTGCAAAGTCTCCCAGATCTATGGAAGAGGATTAGGGCCACTGGAAAAAAAAAAAAAAAATTTAACTGATTTTTAAATTTTATTTCAGTTTAGTATGGGAAAAAAGTCAGAATTCTGACTTTTAATATCAGAATTTTGACTTTAATCTCAGAATTCTTACTGAATTCTGACAATAAAAAAGTCAGAATTCTGAGATTAAAGTCAGAATTCTAAAAAAAAGTCAGAATTCTGAGATTAAAGTCAGAATTCTGAGATTAAAGTGAGAATTCTGAGAAAAAAAGTCAGAATTCTGAGATTAAAGTCAGAAATCTGACTTTTTTCCCATACTATACTGAAATAAAAAAAAAAAAATCAGTAAAATTTTTTTTTTTCAGTGGCCCTAATCCTCTTCCGTACTCTTTTTCTTACACTTTTTGCATGATTTTTTTGAGGTGGATCAACACAATTTATTTGGTTAGGTTTCTACTGTAGCGCTGCCTCCATCATAGATCGCACCCACCCCCAACATGGAATATTCACACTCCTACCTTCTGGCCTGACGGTAAAGGTGTGGAATGCTTTTGTGAGTTCGGCTCTCCTACCCCCCTGCTGATTCCTCAGGCAATGGCCATATTTACAATTGAACAAGGGATGCTAATTTGAGCCATCAGAGTCGTCAGTTTGGACTCAGGGTCTTTTGACTCTCTTTCGGGACTTCAGGGGGGAGGTCGAAAACCCTGGTAATTGTAGCGTTAATCTGTGGACAATTGGAGAATCATCCAGAACTAAATTTTTATCTAAAATGCAAAATCTTTATATATTTTTTTTACATTTTTTACAAATAATTACTGCTCTAAGTGGCTCTGTCATCTAAAAGCATGTTTTAGACTCTCTATACTCAAGTTAACGATTAATTGATTGCTAAATTTGTTGACATTAATTCAATTAATGATTAATCCGATTAATTGTTTCAGCCCTAGATAAAATACATGAAATGGGCGACACAGAGTAACTACAGTCCAGATGTACAACTTGTATAGTGAAGTTAATATTTTAAATGCTCAGTGTCAGTTCTTCTTCTAGTTCCAGTGCAAATATAAATAGAATTAAATTATTTGCAGTCCCTTGAATGTATAATTTTGCATGATACAGAGAGAGCATATAAAAGATAATTCAGTTTTACCTCTTTTTATCTCTGCACAATGCTATATCTTCAAAAGAAAATACAGGATTAATCCACATATAAAAGACATATTTAGACTATATTTAGTTAAATGGGAATGTATTTCCTTACTTTCTTTGTTGCTGGTGAGTTCAAATGCGTCCCTTTTCAAATTGGAAAAAAGCCATGACTCCACATTCAACAGAGCTAGTGATGTGTCAAACATTGATAAACAGCATCTGGTGTGTGTATAGTACCTATACAATTTGTATAAATGTTGCAAGAAATGCTGCTTTTCTCCTTAAACGAAATGTGCCCTGATGCTCACTTTAAGCATGGATATTTTTGTATAGGACCAATGGCATCAGACCAATAAAACTTAAGGGCAACAGTGTCCCTACCAAAGTTGAAATCAAACCTACACCCTTGGTTTTGTCAGAACCTTCAGTACTGAGACAGGAAAAGCCAGCTTGTTTAATTTGGACTTTTTATTGTCCAAAGTATGAAGATAATTGGGTCCAGAGGCCTGGCTGACTGCAGCTTGGCTTACAGACATGAGCCAAGGTTCCTAACCCCAGGCTCACACAGACTCCGGTCTTACCGTTGCGGTGCGGTGGGTGCGGCGCCGCAGTGATTCCAAGTCATTAAAAAGACGTAAGCCTCTCTCACCGGCTGCTGAGCTGTCCGGCTGCGGTTACCGAGACACTCCGGCGCTGCAGAAAATTCCGCAAGAAAGCTATCCTTGCGGCGTGCCGGAGCCCTCCGCAACAAGCTCTCGCAAAAATCCTTTATTTGGGCCGTGTTATCGCGTGAAGTTACGTGAACTCAAGTGAACTTCTGTTAAATCTCCGGACCTGTTGCCGGAGCCGCATAGCCGCACCGCACCGTAGTCAAAAGGGCGGTGTGAGAGGGCGTGTGCGGGAGTTGCGGTCTCCGTCGGCTCGGTAACTGCACCGGAGCCAGTGTGAGCAAGGGGTCAGTCATCAGCTAGCTTTATACATTGTTGACAGCTGACAAACAGCACAGGTTGCATCATGTTGTCTGCTCTGATTCTGCTCTCTCAGTTTGGTTCTCACACAATGGACCAGACAACATATGCAGCAGGTCACAGAGTCCAAATGACCCAGACCCAGTTCTTCCAGCAGAATGTCAGAGTGGAATGTGATCTGATTTATTACTATGTCCATGTTTCCCTGCTGAAAGACACTGATGATCTGAACCCTCTCATCCTTTCAGGGAGCCTGATGGAGTCCGATGGTTGAAACCAGGTCTGAGGAAGTGTAAGTATGTTTTTCATTGGATCCATGACAACAAAGCAGATCCCATGCAACCATCTTAAAACTGTTTATCATTCATTCAGGAGTCATGTGTGTTAATAAATTATCAAAAATTGCAGCTGGATTGTGTTTGTTCTCTCCATCAGATTACTGTCAGCTCACAATCGACAAAAACACAATGAACAGACACCTGAAACTGTCTGAAGACAACAGGAAGGTGACAAAGATGGATGAGCCTCAGTTATATCCTGACCATCAAGACAGATTTGATTACTGGGAGCAGCTGCTGTGTAGTGATGGTCTTACTGGTCGCTGTTACTGGGAGGTCAAGTGGAAAGGAAGAGTTAATATATCAGTGAGTTACAGAAGAATCCGGAGGAAAGGAAACATTATGGACTGTGGGTTTGGAATGAATGCTCATTCCTGGAGTTTGAGATGTTTTGATGATAAAGGTTATTCTGTCTGTCATGATAAGGAGGAAACATCCCTCATCTCCTCCTCCTTTTCCTCCGCCTCCTCCTCTGTCTCTAACAGAGTAGCAGTGTATGTGGACCATCCTGCTGGCATTCTGTCCTTCTACAGAGTCTCCTCTGACTCACTGATCCACCTCTTCACCTTCAACACCACATTCACTGAACCACTTTATCCTGGATTCTGGATTTGTCCTGGTTCCTCTCTGTTTCTGTGTTGAGTCTAAAGAGTCTCCTCCTGTCAGAGAAACTCGCTCACTGTTGAACATACAGTTTGCTCTCTACATGTCTGCCTCTTTCACTTAAAATCATTTTCTCATTCTGTCAGTTTCCTTTTTGAAACTCCTGAAAGAGATTGTGTGTAAACTTCATCATCTTCTAGTCATTTAAATGGGTCATAGAATGATTCTATAAGGTATTAGGTGCTGGTGCTTAAGGTCTTTGAATAGGGTGTGTAACATCGCCGGGTCTGCGGATGGAGGCAGGGAGCCATAGAGGAGCAACCGAAGCCAACCCGATGAAGGTAGCCGGCGGCCCCATGCAGTCGACACTTCATACCCATGCCTTTAGGGTCGGAACAGCCCCTTGTTTCAGTAAAAGAAGTTTAGTAAATCCTGCTTTGATCTGTCCAACATTTTGAAATCTGTCTTTAGTAAAATGTTTAGAGCAAATGAACAGTTGACCATCAAACTTTGCAGGGATCTTCTAATAGGGCTCGGGATCCACGTTGCATTGTGGGACGTCGCAGCCATATTGACTGCTACGCAAACGTAAAAGTAGCTCTGATACAACGTTGTTGTTGAAAGAAGAGACGTAGAAATAGAGAGAAAAAAGATGTTAAAATCCCGAAAAGGATCTGGAATTTACCGGGACACATTAAATAGAGAAGCCAGGGACCGGTATGTTGACAAAATCAGCATTATTAATAATTTGGATCCATATGAAGTTCCAAACAATGAGTGGCGCACCGATGAGTGAGCGCCTATACTTCAAAACAGTTCTGAAGCTACAAGTCCTTGGAGTCTCATGTGCAGTTCATGAATGGATG